CTTCTTGGACCTGCTGCAAATCCTCGAAAGGCTTTGGAAGTGGATCTTTGGGCGACATGTCTGTTTCGGTTCGAAGGGTCCCAGTTGTGCCTGGGTTTGGATGCGGAGCTGGTTGAAGTGGGCGGCATCAGGACAGATGAGTACGGAAGTGTGGAAAGCAATGGCAGCACAGGCGCCAAGCGTGGCAAGTTGGCAGCGGTGCACCAGTGGCCCTTCACATCACACAGCACCTTGCTCCACAAAGCCACAAACCTATGAAATACCCGGTCAGCTGTGGCTTGGCATCCATTGCAACGGGACTTGTTGAAATCACGTCAAACCTGCCATGTAGAAGATCTCTGTCGCGCCTTGAGCTGAAACAGGCCCTGCTGCTTGTGTTGTGCTTCGAAAGGTGCCTTCAACTCCGTGGGCCGAGAAAAACCACATGACATCAAGGCAATGTCTCGATGCAGCTATTGAATTTCACAAGTAGGCTTGGAGTCTTTGCAGGCTGGGCAAGGTCTGATAAATCGAGTCTTGCATGAGTCTGGTTCAGCATCGTTTGTTGAACCACAGACCACCTTGACCACCTGGGCCATAGATGGACCATGATCCCAAAACCTGCAACGGCTCGCATGGCTTGCAATTCCCCTTGTAGTTCTCCACCGGGAAGCATACACGATACTCAAGAAGGCAATCATCGGAGGAACGGTGTGTTACAGCTTCCACACATAAGTTGCTTGACATGTGCGATTGAACCCTTGAATGCCGATGAACTTTGAGCACAAGCCACTTCACTCGATTAAGGCACTCAAACGGCTATGCTTGCCGTCTGAACGTCTGCATGGCCGCAATGCAAACATGTTCCCTGGCAGCAGCTGCGCAGCTTCCTACTACTTCATGTCTGTCCGCTGTATGCACTGCAGGAGACACCTGCAGCCTGCAGCGGGAGTTCTTTCAAGTCCCCAGTCGAACATCTAGCCGACCCGCAGAGCATGCATGCAGCGATGACACTTTGATGCTGAGAGTGTCCAAGGCAAGCATTGTCAACAAAGGAGCTTCCCTGGCGCATATTCAACCTCGACGCAGACCTGTGATGAACCCTCCAAGTGCTGCACGCACAAGACGCCACCTTCCCCACAGCCTTGATCTTGGCACGCGCTGCACAGGGGCATACTAGCCCATCAGACGTCTGCTTGCCAATGCTCAAGCCAGCCAGGGAGCTAGGCGCTCTAGTAGCTAGCTGGATTGGCTAATTTAAGGCACATGTTCAAGAAGGCAATCATCGGAGGAACGGTGTGTTACAGCTTCCACACATAAGTTGCTTGACATGTGCGATTGAACCCTTGAATGCCGATGAACTTTGAGCACAAGCCACTTCACTCGATTAAGGCACTCAAACGGCTATGCTTGCCGTCTGAACGTCTGCATGGCCGCAATGCAAACATGTTCCCTGGCAGCAGCTGCGCAGCTTCCTACTACTTCATGTCTGTCCGCTGTATGCACTGCAGGAGACACCTGCAGCCTGCAGCGGGAGTTCTTTCAAGTCCCCAGTCGAACATCTAGCCGACCCGCAGAGCATGCATGCAGCGATGACACTTTGATGCTGAGAGTGTCCAAGGCAAGCATTGTCAACAAAGGAGCTTCCCTGGCGCATATTCAACCTCGACGCAGACCTGTGATGAACCCTCCAAGTGCTGCACGCACAAGACGCCACCTTCCCCACAGCCTTGATCTTGGCACGGGCTGCACAGGGGCATACTAGCCCATCAGACGTCTGCTTGCCAATGCTCAAGCCAGCCCGGGAAGCTCTGCACAGGCGAAGACTAGCCCATCACACGTCTGCTTGCAAAACTGAAGCTCAACATGTGGCCCTTGCAAAGACTGGATGAATCAAGACTACGAGCACGGGACCTTGTCAACGTGGCACAGAAGTTTCCCATCCAGTGCCGAGACCAGGTTGTCAAAACACTGTCTTTGTCGCCGCTGCGCACCTCTTAACACCGCCTTGCAAGTCAGCCTCTGCCCAGGCTGCACCTTTGCTGAAAGCGAGGCAGGACCAAGTACCTGAGCGGAGGTTGGCCAGCATCACATTTACAGCTGGGAGCCCACAACCCGACCAGCTCGACCAGCTCGACCAGCTCGACGGGCTGGGATGGTTTGAGAAGAAGTTACCACACAACCTGGCTGTTGGCAGTAGAGCTGGCCTCATAGCCGCCCAACTTCGTTCCCCACAGTACCAACCAAGGCTCGTGACGATGTTGACGGAAAAGTCGGCAGAATGCATGACAGACATTTGCCATCGGACAACTGAAAGCAATACTTGAAGCCGAATGAAAGGCCGTCAACTGTTGGCGTGGCAAAGATTTAGATGCTTTGCACCCTGAGCTTGGCCGGACCACAATTTATATTGTTTTGCACCGCCCTTGTCTTTTTATGCTGGTATAAAAGCGTCCTGTTACCTGTTTGTTTCACGGCCAATTGCCGCTGCGGATGGTCTTTCCTTTTCCCTGCTGTGTAGGCCCGCTGGTCACCAAGCCGCTTCCAGCGCCGTCCCTTCCAGGCTGTGACAGTGCTTCTTGCGGTGGGTAGTATACTTAGTATACCCTTTCAGTGGCTCGGCCGAGCTGTGGAACCCATGCGGCTGCAGCCCGCACGCCAGCGATATCTTCAAATCACCACGTAACTCCCTTGTTTGGGTGTCAATGATTTACATCATTGGAGATGGCTCATGCTTGTTCAACCACATGTGGGATTGGAAAAAGAAACAAAAGAAAGGCTGGCCATGCTACATTCCAATGCAAACATTGGGCGTGCACACTGCACATGCTCGACACAATGCACAGATTTGCTCCTCCTGGATATCATGCAGCAAACATCTTGCAGCTCTTCCCATTGCAACTCTGACATGCATGTACGAAACACACAAAGGCCAGAGGCTTTTGTGGGCAGATTACTGGGCAGGGGCACGAGTTTCAGTGCCCAGTCTGAAGAAGGGGTTTGCCAAGAGGAAGCATCGAATTGACAAACGGCAAACAACCCCTTCACACCCTGCATAGCCTGCACACTGACCTGCCAAAATCATCCATGCTAGCAGAGCGGTGTCAACACAGTGCAACTTGGCCAAGTGTACCCGAACCTCGATGCTCGGATGATTTGGTAGGTTAGATGCACGTCCGTGTGCACTGAGGATTGCTTGTCTCGATGCTCGAAGCCTTCCGTCAAAACCTCCAAACTGCTCTGCGAGCGCCCCAGGCTTCAGAGGCTGCAACTGCAGCAACTCGCCATGAAAGCTTCGGAAATTCTGAAATGTTGCGTCGCAAGGCACATGTCGCCGAATACTTCCAAAAACTCCTTCTAGAAGTGCTGTATCTTGATTTTGGCTTGTCTTTGGAAGGTCAGGGCAAGCATAATTGCCTTTCAGTCCGCAACTCACGGGTGTCGAGACTAATGTACTGTTGGCCTGGTTAGGGCTTAGATGGAAAGGCCCGCAATAAAGCCCAACAAGTCTTTGCGCCTTCTCTTGCATGCAGCCACAACCAATTGAACGCGGTGCTAAAGAGACTCCTTAAGCATTGAGCATTTCCGGGCTATCAACCCGGCAACTAAAGGCACGTTCGGGACGATATTATGGAGACATTCGGATGGGTGGACCTTGGGCAAGACTTGCTCTTGGCACCTCATGCGCTCCGAAGTCAGCATCATATTGGGGCAAATTTCTAAAGCACACCTTTGATGTGCGACCATGCTATCTACTCTTCCTGCAAGCCAGACGATGCCACACGGCGCAACTGTCAACCACATTCGCAACCCCTTTCAAGCTTCCCTGACCAGTACGCCCTTGGGACATGCCTGGGCCTTTTGAGAAGGGTGCCCGGACCGCCCCTGAGAAGACTTTTCTTTCCTGAACCCCCCCCTGAAAAAACCTTATGGGACCGCTGAGACCGTGAAACCATCAGGCCCCCTTTGCTGCACCAAGTTGACATAGGACTTGCATGGCTTTCCTGTGTCTGCGATGCGCACGCTATACAAACACCCCGCGGTGGGCCAGCCCGGCTGCCGATGCGGCACACGCAAGCGCTTACAAGTATGCAACTTGCATGTAGGTAGCACATGCCTTCTTGACCCTTCCGTCTCTGAACGGACTCGCCCTACCATCTTTGTTGATTCGTTGCCCTATTCGACCGCTGAGAGGAACAACTGTGGCTTCTTGATGCCACGCATGCCATACTAGTCTCGGAGGCCCTTTTTTCAGACTGTCATGCCATTGCAGCAAGCTAAGCCTCAACCTTCGTCGTTTTCAGCGGGCATCGAGATCCCTGTTACAAATTCTAGATCGAATGCTGCAAGTAGGACATAGTAGGACATAGTAGGACCCCACCGCACATACCTGGTGTGACTACAAGGGTTGCATGGCCGGCTCCTCGGCTCGGGGGTCTCGGGGTTTTTCAATCCGCCACATGTCTCAAACGGTTTGCGGCATCAAAAGGTCACGAATACATAGAGAGCTCCTAGCTCCAACGTGCACACCAGTGACACGTGTACATCCAAGAAGCTTTCAGAAAGCTGCTCGGAAGCGAGGCTCAGATGGACCGTGCATTGCTTGGCAAGTGGCAGAACCTTGCTACCAGATTCGACATGACGATGATGCAGATGCAACATGGTCGGACTGCGGCATGTGCATCTTTTCCTTGATGCATATCTGCAACCCAATCGTGGGTCTTGCACAAGCCCCGGAAGATCGAAGTCCTGAAGCTGCAGGCGTCAAATGTTTACAAAAGGCACTCATACCTGATGCTAGTACTTTACGTTTGACGTCTTTTGACTTTCGCAAGAGCAGCAAAATGCGTCTCTGAGCCGCCTACAGCCCTTGTCCGGGCCTGGTGGGTCAAAAAGGCAAACTGAGCCTCGCGAGGGCGCGACCATCCAATACTGGTAGCATGCCTGCTACAGATCAGCTTCATCCACCCCATCATGGTTGCGCAGTGCTGAACTGGCTTTAATGTTTCTAGGGTCTATAATCAAGCTTCTTCAGGATGCTCCTCGACGTCACCGAGCTCACTTCGACCGACGCTTCTCGCACTTCTCGCGCTTCTCCCGCTTCTCTCTTCATGGCTCCGGAAACATCTCAGATGCATCCAAACCTGTCCTGCGGCTCCGCTGTCCTTAAAGTGCAGTGTGGACTCGCGGGCCTGCATGTACTTGCGAGGATCGTCCATCATCCTGACCCACACCTTGCCCAAGCGGAACTTCTCCGTGTTCCCCGACTTCCCTCCGTTGACGACCTGCCGAACGTGCGAGCAGACTGTCTGCCACTCCGTGGGTCGCACGAACTGCCGCAAGGTGGGCAGAGCGTCGACCTCTCTCGCGTTGCCCTCCCTGCCGGCTTCTTGTCGTTGGTTTTCCTTGTACTGCACGTGCACTTGCACTACTTCGTGACGTTGCTCTGCATCCACCACGAGCATGAGCTCACTCAAGTGTGGCAAGCCACGAACCATTGATCCTTCGACCGCGCTTGATGCCATGGAGGATGCGCGTGAGCGAGGACGGCGGCCGGTGGAATTCATAGTCCCCAAGGTGACAGAAGGAATCTGCGCTGGCACTGCCTCTGGCACAATAGTTTCCGGATCTATCTTCAGGGCAAGCAGATGGTAGGCATCCGCGCAGCCATACAAGTGCGGCACTTGCACGTGGTACAGGTCCACACCAACCCTTTGCTGCTGCGCAGTGCGAAACGACACGCGGAGGCACGGCGCAGTTGCAGGAGCCGTCTGCTGATCATCATCTTCTTTTGAGATGAATTTTTGGAAACGCTGCTGCTCCTCACTGTCTTCGGACAACAAGTCCTGAAACGTGGCACCTTCCCACTCATCCTCTGACAGCAGAATGCGACTCAAACCCGTGCCCGCTTCAATCTTAAGCCTGTCATTCAGCAGCAGCTCCGCATCGCAAATGCCTCGCAGCAGCGTGCGGAAGCTGGAAACCAAAGTCTCAGCATCTGCACGTTGAAATTGCGCGGCGACGCGTCCGCGGAGAGTAATCTCAAACACGATGGCAGCAATAATGAGTAGCCCTGAGAATACAACCTGGGCATGGATGGTTGCAAACAATTCCGTTCGCTCCCAACCACGGTTCACGATGTGACGACACACCTCCGTGAGCGCCAACAATAGTTGACCATCCATGTGGGTCTGCCTGTCCACAAAAACGAGGATTCCGACTATCTGCGCAGCCTCCAGAATTTTAATATGGGCCGAGGAGTGGACATCGTGCGACTGTGGACCAACCCAATGACCAACAACCAGAAGCGAGTAGTTTAATACCCAGACACCTCTGAGACCTGCGATTGATGGGCGAAATCGTCCAGTGGCAACCGACCAGTGCAGGGCGTACAGGAAGCAGTTGGCCAACAACATGAATGCAAAGATCACGGAGTCGCTGCTGTCGTAAAGAAAGGGCACCGCAATCACACACCCCACGTTGAGATGTTGCACAAGCCGGGTTGTCACAACGCTGCTCTCCACTCTGATCCGATCCATGGCGTCGTTGACGCGCTTGTCCGAATCGCCGCCGGCGGATTTGCCCGCCGGGCCCAAATAGCTCAGGCCTTGATTAATTAAAGCCAGCAAATCTGCCCCGGTTGTCCTCCAATGGAAGACTGCAACAACGAGCGCGAACGCCAACCAAACGCCGACACTTGTCATTGTCATGGCTGGAGGTTCAGGCTTTTGGGGACTTTGCTTGGCTGGTTCTCGGGTGAAGTTTGATTCCTGCCTGTTTTTGTCTGGGCCCGCTGGCTCAAGAACACACAATGCGACGTGCCACTAGCGATATCATCCGCTGTCTTGCAGCCAAAATTCAATGGTGAAGATACAATCAACTTCAAAGCCCAAACTGGAGAATTCGACCTCACCTTAAACCAGCTGTAAAGCTCACTTGGGCGCTGGGCTTGTGCTTAGTACAGTTCTCGATTTGAGCATGTCATTCAGGGCCCACAAGCACCATCAAGTACGATCAAGTACGATTATGGGGTTGGTTCATATAATGTGCACTTGCTATCTGCGCTTGTTGACAGATCTCGCAGGCCTGCTCCGCCTCGACCACAAATTCTTACAGTTGCTTTGAGTATTGCTAGCATGGGGAATCATGGGGATTACTGTTATTTCTGGCAAAACTGCACACCTGCTCTAATCGGATCTGGTCATTCCTCTCATCATCGTATAGATCACTATTATTACTATTATTCCCGAAAGCGTCAGCGAGGGTTCTTTGGAGAAAAACGCTTGCCAGACACACCTCGATCTCGACTCACATCTCGACTCACACCGCTGGACTCACACCGCTTGACTTTTTTGTCTTTGTTCTTTAGCCGGGGCAGGTCTAGCGGGATTCGGCGGGGCACACCCTCTGCGCGTTTCGTGCGTGTCACGGCGCTCTCGCTTGAGCGCCGCGCGCATTGAATTTGTGAATCGCGCGGCCTCTGCGCGTTTCGTGCGTGTCGCGCTCTCGCTTGAGCGCCGCGCGCATTCATTTGGTGAATCGCGCGCCCTCTGCGCGTTTTGTGCGTGTCGCGGCGCTCTCGCTTGAGCGGCGCGCATTTATATTCTATTTTGTGAATCGCGCACCTGCTGCACGTTTCGTGCATGTCGCGGCGCTCTCGCTTGAGCGCCGCGCGCATTTATTTGTGAATCTCGCACCCTCTGCGCGTTTCGTGCGTGTTGCGTCGCTCTCGTTGTGGCGCCGTTCGAATGAATGTCGACTCGAAATTTCTTCTCATGTAGTACAAATTAAGCACGCGAAAAGCGTGCTGGAGCCGAGGGCGTGGAAAATCGTTCTTATGTAGTACAAATTAAGTACGCGAAATGCCTCTCCGAGGTCACAACAGCCCCTCTTGGACTCCACTTAACGCTTGGCTATTTTGTTCGTTGATTCAATCTGGGTTGAAGCAACATGCTAAACACCCTCAACATCCCTCAACCCAAGAAGAACTCTCCCAAAACCGCAAACCCAGGTCGCACAGTAAGCCTTTGAAACCGCCTCTGGCCCCTAAACCCCAAACCGCAAACCCTGAAACCCTGAGCATCCGAGGCCAGAGCTTGTGTGGCCAATTTCTTGGCATCGGTGCACCCGCAAGGAAGACAGGCCTGACAGGCCTTGTTGAGTGATCAGCATTAACCCCACATCCTAAACCGGGGAGACGTTTAGGCATTGCAGGTTTTTAATGCAGGGCTTAGGATGATTTCAGGGCTCGTTGCGCGGGTTTAAGGATTCTAGGTTGGGGCATGTGGGGACTGCGGCGTCCGACATGCAAGGTTGGGTTTTCGAGATGCATAGCCCGCGCCCGAGATGCACGGCACCAAGCCGTTTGCATCTCGAAAACCCAACCTTGCATGTCGGACCAGGATTCAACTTGCCTTCCTACAGCCACCTGTGACGCTTGCACCAAGGTTTTGCTATGTTTCTCCTTTTCTTTTTACTTTTACTGAGGTTTTCTCTTTACTTTTAATAGGATTTCCTCCACGGCCTCAGCAGCTTGCATCTCGAAAACCCACCTGTGCCGGTTGGACCCAGAATTTACTATTTTACTATTTTACTAATTTTACGCGAAATCGGCAGTTTGCATCTCGCAAACCCACCTGTGCCGGTTGGACCCAGATTGTTGACTACTTTACTGAATTTACGCGAAATCCAGAGAAAATTCCTCCTTCTCTCTTTACTTTTAGTAGGATTTCCTCCACGGCCTCAGCAGTTTGCATCTCGAAAACCCACCTGTGCCGGTTGGACCCAGAATTTGTACTATTTTGCTATTTTACTAATTTTACGCGAAATCGGCAGTTTGCATCTCGAAAACCCACCTGTGCCGGTTGGACCCAGATTTTATTACTTTACTGATGTTACGCGAAATCCAGAGAAAATTCCTCCTTCTCTCTTTACTTTTAATCGGATTTCCTCCACGGCCTCAGCAGTTTACATCTCGAAAACCCACCTGTGCCGGTTGGACCCAGAATTTACTATTCTACTATTTTACTACTTTGCTATTTTACTATTTTTCTATTTTACTATTTTGCTATTCTACAATTTTACTATTTTACTGTTTTACTTTTTTACTATTTTACTATTCTACTATTTTACTATTTTACTATTTTACTATTTTACTATTTTACTATTTTACTATTTTACTATTTTACTATTTTACTATTTTACTATTTTACTATTTTACTATTTTACAATTTTACTATTTTACTATTTACTATTTTACTATTTTACTCTTTTCTATTTTACTATTTTAGTATTTTACTATTTAGTTTTTTACGGACTCCAAGAAAGTTTGCATCTCGAAAACCTACCTTTGCATGTCGGACCCCCAATCTGCATGTTGGACAGAGGGATCCCCTGAAGACCCCTCAGGATTTGGGCTTCCGCAGGGTGGCGAGAGGCAGCATCCACGTGGTATGAGGCTCGCGCAACTTGACTCCGGAAGAATTCTGCCTTAGATGAAGGACAGGGTTCGCGCTTCTTCGAATCTCTAAACCCAAGCCTAAAAGACCTAAAGCCGCAACCCCTGAACCCTATACTTGTGTGCACGCCCAAGCACCTCGTTCAGGGTTTAGGGCTTGGGGTTCAGCATCTCATGTGACTAGCTAGTTCTAGTCAAGCCATTGTCGAGTCCTGGAAAAATACCACACACTCCCAAAGAACCTCGTAACATTAAGAACATGTAAAGTTCATTCAATCCACAAACCCTAGGCTCCATACCCTAAGGCCCAAACAAACACTCAGATCCTGGCCCAATTGGCCCTGAACCCTAAACCAAGCCCCACTAATTCAAAACTGATATAATTTCGGGCTGGGGCATTAATTCGGGTTGGTACCCAATCAGGGCTGGTACCCAAAATTGACCTTATTTTCGGCTGGACGTTCCTGGGCATTGATTGTTCGGGTAGTAGGGCATTAATATTGGGGTTGGTACCCTAAAACAGGGCCGGCACCCAAAATTGACGTTATTTGGGGCTGGGCATGAGGGCTGGTACCAAAAGCTGGGACTCCAAATTGACCGTATTTTGGGCTGGGGAATTAAGCTTGGTACCCAAATCAGGGCCGCTGCCCAAAATTGACCTTGTTAGGGTACCCGGTCAGGCAACCAAAATTGACCTCATTCTGGGCTTTTGAGCATTAGGGTTGGTACCCCCATTTTGGGTCCGGCAGCCAAAATTGACCTGATTTGGGGTTGTTAACTGTACACATGAAAGAGAGGGTTTTGGGGTTTGGGGTTTAGGGCTTCCACCTTATAACCCTAAAAGAACAGGACCACGTCTATACCGCTCTGATAAAATAACCATCTCAACCACCTCAGGGCTTAGGGCTTTAAGGATTTCAAGGATTTCTGGCCCTGAAACAAAAAGAAAAAGACATCGTCGCAAGACTGGCCACTTGCAATGCATTGAATGTCCAAGGAGGAAAACTCATCGTCCTGCCAGCAGAGGGTGGGCTTTTGAAGTCTGAGGCGGCCTTGGGGTGTTTGGGGTTTAGGGCTCAGGACGGTAGAACGTGCCATGTCTTGAAGAGGAGTCGCTGTTGAGAACGCAGCGGGCACGAAACAGCTCAAAGCCTTCCTGCAGAAATGGGGTCTCGTAAGCAGCCATTCCCTTGAATCTTTGGAGAACCAACGTGGGCCCCCGACCAGAGCCTAAACTATACTGTTGAACTGCAATGCCCTCAATTTTTGAGGGTGAAGGACATCCCTTACTTCGGCAAAATAGGCGTTTGAACCCCGAACTCTTCCAGCGCTTTGTTCGATCAGTAGGGCCCATGCACAGGGAGGGAAGCCTGGATTGCAAACCTCGCTAAACCCTATGATAGGACTTAGGCCGAACGGTTGAGGGTTAAACCCTCAACTTCTTGAAGCCTCTGCCCGGCAAAACCTCGAAACCACAAGCTCCCAAGCCCCAACCTGCAGGAGCACCTGACAGCATCTGACATCCGGCTGCATGCTGCAACAAGTTTCGGAGACTTAGAGATTCATGTAGCAAAGGATGGCTTAGCCATATCTGACATGTTAACATCCTGATGGCACAGGGCACCTCGAGCCCAAAGCGGAGCGCAAAGTGGGTGTAAGCAACTTTACCATTGGGGCTTGTGCTTGTACCCATCTGCAAGACGAGTTGCTCCATGGCGTATGTTTGTTTTATGTGTCGGCCACATGGACTGAAGTTGCACACGAATCTTCGTTTTCAACGATGATGGTGCTGATAGCCTCCATAGGTCCTCCGACCGTATCCATACTTGTCGATCCTGCTTCGCCCATGCGGCTCCTCGCCCTTCGGCCAGACCAAATTTATAGGAACGTCAACCGGGTACTCACCAAATCTGCTCGTATCATCGAAACAGACCGTGATGTTGCGACACCTTACTCGCGCATCCTTCACCATCCCAGGGTCCTTCTGCCCATGCTGCCCCATCACAATGACTGGCTCACCCTCAACAAAATACTTGTCTGGCAAGGCCCGTCGATCCTTGGCAATGAAAAGTTTACGATCCTGGCCAGCACCACATGAGACGTGAGGCAAACTGAGCTCATCTGCCAGAGTGTGTATGAGCTTTCGTCTATAAGATGGGATGCTTGCGGGCAACGTCCACACCTGCGAAGTTGTGTCGTATGTTCCCTGACCAAGGGTCTCTGGGCTGACGTGTCCAGCAAGCACTTGCTGCATGACTGCCTTCACGTCCGTCATGAACTCTGTATCCTGGCTGTACAAGTCTTGCAAAGCCTGAGGAACCTTCTGCCCACAATGCTCGAGGAGTCGAATTAGCTCCCCAGCGATCCAAAAGCGGCCCTCTGGCAGAAATGCCAACACCCTTCCATTCTTCTGACCAGGACGACATGTGCGGCCAATGCAGTTTGCATACTCTCCCATACTTTGCGGAAAGTCGAAGAGCACCACAGCCAGCGACAATTGTGAGCATGAGCTAGTGTCCTGGAAGTCCAAGCCTCTTCCGGCCAGGGAAAAAGTGGAAATCAGCGCCCTTGTATTTCTGCGGACAAAGTCCTTGTAGGAAGACTGCTGTGCATGCTGTGCATGCTGTGCATGCTGTGCATGCTGTGCATGCTGTGCTTCATGAGCATGATGATCAAGGACCGCAATCGGGTGAACTCCACTGCTAGTCACACGTGCGATGGCATCTCGGAGTTTCGAATCAAAGGCTACATGTCCAAGTTGTGTCCTATGACAGAGTATCAGCAAGGACTCCTCTTCTTGAAAATCCTCCGCAATCCACCTTAGCAGCTCCGCCATCTTCGCGTCAAAGCCACCATCAAAAGCACCAGGAAACAACTTCACGTCCTGAGAGATGCTGGGCACTTTCGGGTTCACCTGAATTTTAAACAGCTCCTCGCCACAAATGTCCAAGGCTGCCTTTTCGGCTTCGAGCGGCAGAGTTGCGGAGAAGAGAAGAAGCTGCCGGTCCTTGCGGAGCAACCGCAGCAGTTCCCGTATCTGCATCAGCCAAGTTCCTGCTGCAAGCATGTGGTCTGCTTCATCCAAAACCACGTAGCTCAGACGCTTGGCGCTGATCCAGCATCTCCTGGTCATGAGCTCCCAGAGCCTTCCGGGAGTTGCCACTAAAATCTCCGGCCACCTCCCAAAATCGGGGGCACCCTCCAGTGGAGTCTGAAGCTCTGCAGCTTGTCCGCCAAAGATCACACCCGCACGCAACAAGTCCTCTCCCTTCGTTCGGCTGCAGAACTGCTGCGCTACGCCATGCGTCTGAACTGCAAGCTCTCGAGTCGGCTCAAGAAAAAGAGCAATTGGTCCTTCGCCTTTTGTCAGCACAGGCTGAGCCATGATGTGCACTAATGCAGGCAGTAAGAAGGCCAACGTCTTTCCAGATCCAGTCGGTGCCACTGCAATCACATCCGCCCCTGCCAGTGCGCAAGGCCATGCTTGTGCTTGCACAGAAAATGGCAGAGCCTGCAGAGCCTCACTTGAAAACAACTCCATTGCCAGCTCTTCAACAAACGATGGGAAACTTGTTTCTTGAAATGTTTGAAATGGCTTTGGAGCTGGTCTCCCTCTGACACTTGTAACGACAATACCCCTGGACTTCCGATACTCCTCCACGTCCTCCTGAGTTCGGCGTCCAAGGACAGGGTGTGCTTCTTCGAGGTTTCCCCAGCAAAATTGCTCACAGCGGAGCGCCTGATCAGGGTGGTTCAAGTAAAAGTCCTTGTGCAACTTGGGTAGCTCATGGCTAAGCCAGTCTCCGTCAAGCACCCTTGCGGGAATGATCCGCGGAGCTACCTCCAATGCCTGCAGGTCCTGACAGGAACAGCATACACAGCAGTGGCCACACATGCTTCACAATCAGGCTTGAATCAGCTGTGCCTCAGCAACTGCAGAAGCATCTGTTGCACTGGCCATTGCAACAAAGCTACATGTGAGCAGTGTCAAAATAACTTGTTCATGCCCAACATGTCCTTGAATTTTGGAGCGTACCATACAAGATGTTCCACGCTCTGATTGTGGCAAAGCTGTGTGTTCAGGACGAGTCCCAGAGATGCCCAAGATCTGAAAGAAAATACAGCAGCGCAATGTCGTCAGCGAGTCTGCAAATTCTGCAACCTCCATCAACTCCCAAACCCCTCATGAGACACGGGTGACACGAGCTTGGATTCTGGGACATGAGTCCGGGTCAAGAACGTCTTCACACAGCAGTTGTACATTCATTATACGGTGCACTCTAACCATACCTCTATTCGCTCTATTCAAATCTGTTCTGGTCTGGCACAAGCTGTGGAGTGTCGGTCGTCCGTTTCTGTTTGGGCGAATGTGGGAATCTCGGTGAGACGCGGTTTTTTTCTTACAAGCCTCTGTTCAGGCTAACTGTGCCTCAGGAACAAGACGGAACACGGAACTTCACGGAACTTCACGGAACTGCAACTCGCTGCGAGGACTCCAAGCTCGGTGCGAACGAATGCAGATTCCCCGGGTGCAGCCGTAGACTGACAGACACGTCGTATTTCCAGCATTGGTAAGACTCCCAACAGGAGAGCATGGTGCACAAGGCCCAATCCCTACAGTAGAATTATGCGCAAGCAAGAAGAGTTGTCTCACGAGCTGGCCACAGTGCACACGTCTGCAGGGGCGAAGGACGCTGTGACTGTAGCAACACCTGTTGGTCAGCTGCAGCACATCATGTCAAGCTGGTACAGCATATCCTAACCGAGGCATCAACAGAGTTTGCATTGCGCCAGAACAGAACCACTTTTCAGGCTCCATGCCTGACAATAGATGCCACAGCTTTTCGAGGCAGGCACGGCCTGTTTACGCAACATCTTCGTGCCTGTACTGCCAGCACACAGTTGGAAAACAGGCTGCTCTGCTCTAAGAGTCAGGCCAGCGCAAATCTCTTCCAAACGCCTGCCCTGAGGAAGAGGGAACAAATGCATGAAGGAACAAATGCATCACGCAAATCTGATATCCAGAGCTGCAACCTCGGTCTCGTCAAAGCTCTTGCTGTCCATCTCGAAGCCGATTACATTGTTTGCTTCGTCGCGAATTTCTTTGGCGGCTTCCTCTCCATTTGTCACATGTTGGTTACTCAAAAACCCTATCATAACATATCGGACCTATCAATGCTATCCGAGCCTCGGAGGCGGTGAGATGCAAGCCCAGCACGAAAAACACCAACCTGTGAGCTGAAAAACGGGTAGCATGACACTCTCCTGGTACAACAACGTCTCAATCGAACACAATCGGCCTGCGAATGATCTTCATAGCAGGTATGTCACTGGATCCGGCATGCGCAGCGTTATCGTATCACAAATGTGATTTTTCATGGTTGTTCACAGTTCCTGGCACTTGCTGGACTGCGCCATTCATGTCTTTCAATGCCTTTCCCTTCCGCGGCAGCTGGCTGCAGCAAAAGATATCCACGACAAAGCCACAACAACGGAGAGTGCAGCAACTGCCCAATGTTGCAGGTCGGTTGAAAGCACATCTGCGGCGACCAGGCGCACGTATTATTCATCCCGGCACAGGCTCTAAGAAACAGCGATCTGCACCAACTGCCTTGCCATCAATCAGGACCCATGCCTGGAAGCAAGGGTGAATCGACGAACACAACTCATGGCATGACAGATCCTGCACTCACCCATCAGATTGGTGAGTGCCTGCTCCGTCATGCCATGAGTTGTGTTCGTCAACTGAAGCTCATCACATCTCAAATGACCTTGCAAAGATCAAAGCACAGCACCTCCCCATCTCCATTCCTCATACGAAGCCATCGAACGCCTGCGCTCTGCACAGCGAGACACAGCACACCGCGCGCAGTTAAGAAATGGTACGGCCTTCTACACAAAGTCCATCACCCTCCAGAATCTCACCTTGACCCTTTTGGCCAAGCTTGTCCTGAAAAGCTAGGTCAGGTCATGTCGCATAGCAGTTCTATCTACAACGCAATCTGTTGCTCCTTAGCAGTCTGTCTGGGATCAGCTTTGGGCATCAGGTAGACGAGAGGCTCCAACACAACCCAGTGCTTACCTCAAAGAGATTCTGAAGGTCAACACATGTCACGACCCTGTCTGGATCATCGTCGCTGAGCTGCACTTCTTGAGTGCCTCATCGCCCCAGCTGGTGGGCTGAACCTTCGCCATGCAAAAGCAAAATGGCACAGGCGCAGTGAGTTTTAGTGGACGTGCGTGGAAGTGGTAAATTCTGCCCAGGTCACGCCATCCACACGCAATGCCGCAGGTCCTTGGCCACGTCAGTGCATTGTGTCCCTCTCAAATCTCGCAACTGAGCTCCGCTTGTTCCTGAAAAGCAATAGGTTTGATGTCGGACGTCGCGCTCATACTAGCACCTATGCATCTCAGCTAGGAAAACACCCATGACGATCAAAGATCAAAGAAAAGCCTTCACAAAAACAGGCAAACTATGCCCACGGCTCATGGTCTCAACCTCCACTCACATTCGCGAATGCCGCGCGCAAGGTACAGCAAATTGACTGCGAATTTGATAAACTGTCACTTGTCTTATGGTTGTGGCGACAGTCTGGACAAGGCTGGTTGAAAGACAACTACAAACTAACTACAAGATGCTGCGAGCTAGGGATGGGTACAATCCCAGACCTGCGGGGAAAGGTCTTTGATCTCTTGATTGCACATTCTCGCTGAGCCATGCTGATTGCCTGCACAAACACAACAAACAGCACAAGCTGCATCTCAGAATGCTCAAGCAGCAGGGCAAGTGTCAGTTCTTTTTCTGCTGAAGGGCTGGTCGCATTATGGGCATTGACCGTGGCCTGTACTCATTGAGTCTCATTGATGGTAAAAGATGTAAAAAGTCTTGCACAGGGTTACAAGGTTTTAAAAGAATGCAGCACAGGCCCTTGAGGGGATGCGGGAGCATCAACAAAGCTGGTCCTTTGGAAGCAACGACTGCGTTGTGACAGAATTTCTTTGTCGAAACTCGCGGCGTGAAACATCAACACGAATGCTGTTAATGTCCACCACTTCTCTTCCAGCTGCCACATCACCTTTCTGAAATTCGTCTGGAAACGGGAAGCCTGCGTGCAAGCCTCAGAAAACAGTCTTCAGCACCTGAGAACGGTTAGTATTGATGCGCACAAACCTTTGGGCCCCTTTAATGGTGCATGTTGTTCCCATTGGGCAAATTGGGCAGAGTGCCTGTTCTGTGTGCTTCGACATGCTTCGACATGCCGGTGTCGGAAGCAGGGCACCACGGCTTGCCCTGAAAGGAAGTAGACTCCGGGTATCTGCACGGTGACGGACATGCACTAAACTTCTAAATCCAGGAACTCCACCATCACAACAGTGGAACAATTTTGTGGATGCCTATCGTATGCCGACCAAACTACCTCCGTGCCTGGACGACCAGAACGTGGAGCAGAACGTGGAGATATCGTCATACCAGACACAGATTTAAATATTGTAAGCCAAGGTCAACATTCATTATCAGCTCACCTCCCTATGGAACACAAAGGCCGAACCTAATCCTTGTAACTTAACGGGATTTATGACGCTCACACACAGTCAGGCCTTGTCCACAGCCTGACGCCGTAAATCTGACACATCATCAGGGCCTTGGCACACAGGAAAATGCGCAGGGTGTTTGTGGCCCAAAGCTGCCGTGCAAGTGAAGGAATGGAACCAGAATATTGCAGAAAAAGACATCGAAGACATCTCAAAATGCTTCAGTAAAGGCACTCATGAGATGCCAATCAGAAGCCGCCTGCGAAAACTAACATGAAGCTAATGAGGCACGATGCATTTACTGGAGTGAGCAAAAAGCAAGGAAAAAGAAGAGAGCCAGAAAGAGAGAGAAAGATAGACAATTGCCTTGAGTGCTGTGACGGCATCATCCGTGCCCAGTCTTCGCGAAAGGGCAGCGGCAGAATTCGGGCCTCAGGTCAGAGCGATCCGAGCTTGTTCCAAGCTTGTTCCAAGCTTGTTCCAAGCTGTTCCCATTCGCCTGATGTCCAGTATCACATTGTCCACTTTTTTGGAACGGTTTCAGGGAGCCAAGAGATGGGCATGGGCCCCCATGGCAATGCCAACTGTGCTGCAGGCCATATTGCTGCAACACCGCAAGGCATGAGGCTGCATCGCCTCTTCGTGGTTGCCAACATGTGTAACACACTGTTATACAGTCACACAGGTCTCTCCAGTGTCCCACGCCTGCCACTGCGGCTTGCACCAAGACCTTTTAACTGCAAATGGCGAAGCTGAAGCGAAGAGCCAGCGCATCACACAGCAATGGCAACCTCCCGAATAACAGCGACGGCGAAAGCACGGCGTGCCTTGGACCAGGCATTACCAATGGCAAAGAACGGCTTTGGTCCAAGACAAAAGGCTGCAGCGAATGATTCGATTGCAAGTGGTCGAAGAAGCTGCTGAAGCGGACCTCCACACAATCAGCATCAAGATGTACAGTCAAGCTGATAAGCTGAAGCCGTCATCAATCGGTTCACATATGTTCACATGTCTCGAAGGATGACAGCTCAGAGTGTGCCGCACCCACGCTGCCATGATGCACGGCTCTGTAAATGCAACCTGGCAGAGGATGCACTCGACAGTACATACTCAATCCAAATGTGGGCCTGCAAAGTCAACCTCTTCATTGGCGGTCTTGAGCGGTCCGGCGGCCTAGGCAAACTATTGCAGGGATTTGTCGGATTTGTCGGAGTTGTAAGATTTTCCTTCGAAGTTCCTGGCATGGCTCTGTGTATTGAAAGTCGGTGGCAGCTACAGGTTGGCAATCATCAGAAGCAGTCCATTAAGCTCCTCCTAGGATTTTCCTTGTTTACTTAGGCGTTTCCTGAAAACATGATGCTGAAAATTAAAACTGAAGCGCGGGGAGTGGACATGCAACTTGGACCAAACGCGATGCAACAGATGGCAATGATGGCTTGGGGATAATGTTGAACCCTCTTTGCAACATTGAATGCCAAAAGCACACACTGCAACATAAGCTTGCACGTAGCAGTTTGACCTGCGCACCTCCACGAAAGCTCGCAAACGGTGACTCGGACTCTGGCCTCCACGAGCAACTTCACCAAACCGAAGCAGCCGCGCTGCATCTCCTGAGTGAGCTCTCCAGTTTATGTGCTCCATGCTCCGCTCTGATGCTCCGCTCTGATGCTCCGCTCTGCTGCTCCGCTCTGCTCTGCTGTTTGCGTCTGGGCTGCACCCAACACTTGGGACCTTGTTGACCTCCCAAAATGCTCGGACATAGGCAGTGAAACCATGCAATGCTCAAAGCAAGTCAGTGCAACAGAAGCCTTGCTGAGAAAAAACATACAAAAAGTGCCTGTCGGTACAGCTTCCGGCATGATCCTCAGACATCATATCCTATCATCAAACGAGAGACTACTGTACCAATAAGCATCCAATAAGCTGCAGACATCCAGAAGCTGCCTCCATTCGGCTGACAGCGCACGTAGCTGCCACCATGTCTGGCCGGCAAAGTTCTGCTCTGTGAGTCACAACGCTCCCACAAAAACACTTCAAAAACACTGGGTGTCAAGCTCTGGGAGGCAGGAGCCGGAGGACCAAAAACCTGGCCATTGGCAATGGCAATTGGCATGGCAATGCCAAGAATGCCACCAATGCCAACACACAGCTGGCGATTTCAGCATCACTGCTCCCAGCACCCTCAGCCACTGAGATCGGCCACGCTGCGGTCGCATCGTGCAAGGCCAATTTCAGAAGCGGTGCCCGGCTCTCCTACTTTCAAAAGCAGTTGTACTCAATGCGCCCGATGCAAATGTTTCAAGCAGGTATAGCGCTTCAAGCTGAAACTGCCCCGGCCTCCATGGAACAAGTTCCACACGACAATCTGACGGTTGGCTTGTCCTACGCTTAGAAATTGTGAAGATTTCTCGACAGCATGAAAAAGTCACGAAAAGCTGTGAAGTCAAGTGTGCTTGTGAATGTTGTCTATTGCTGGCACATCTTGAGTCGATGCAGTTCACAGCAGCGTGAAGATCTTATCCTGCTTTCCTACACTGACACCATTGAAACAAAGCTGCTGCAATACACAAGCAAGAACGGGCTGCATTCGGGGCGAAAACAAACCGGAAGGTTAGGCTTCGATCCCTGCAAGCTGCGCAAAGGTTTTTCAAAATCAACAGTTCAACTGCCCAAAGATGCCTAAAGCGCCAACTGAAGCGACTTCCAAGGGGTCGAATGAACATCATTGATACACTCCCATATGCTTTCGTTTTTGGCAAAGCTGAGATTTCATATCTGTCTCACTCAACAAATTATGCCGGCGAAGACCCCAAAAAATAAAATTGCAGATCGAGGGACTCCGGCGCAGCAGGCGACACCGTTACACCGCCTGGTGGCGCTTCGTATTCGACAGCAGAAGCTGAAGCGGCCACCAGCAGCGGTGGGGCTATCGGCTTTGCTCTCATCCGTTTGAGGCTGACCAATCCAATCCCCAGCAGTGTTATGTGAACTTCGTTGCTTTGGCATGTGTTTCTTTGGATGACTGGTAGCA